TACAGGGTGAAGAGAAGAGGGGACAGCACAGTTCCCTGTGGTGCTCCTGTGCTGCTGACCACAGTGTCAGACGTGATGTCCTTCAGCCTGACGTACTGTGGTCTGTCGGTGAGGTAGTCGGAGATCCAAGCCACCAGGCAGGGGTCCACCTCCATCCTGTTCAGTTTTTCCTGAAGCATACAGGGCCGGATGGTATTAAAGGCACTGGAAAAGTCAAGAAACAGTATCCTGACCGTGCCTTTTCCCCCATCCAGGTGTGAGTGGGCTCTGTGTAGGAGGTACAGGATGGCATCCTCCACTCCATTATGTGCTCTAACTGGTATTTAAAGGGTTAAATTTCAGAATTTTAATGAAATTTTGATTTTGATGAACAGCCCTGATGCTAGTCTAAAAAATCATGTAAAAAAAACTGGACATTTTTCTTAATATATAATAATTTTATAGCATTTTGTAAATGTAAACAAGGGGTGGCCACTTTTGGCCACTAACAGTCTGAAAGGGGTTTTTTATGTTTTTGCTCTCTCTGCACTAAAATAACAATGCATTATAATCAATGTTGATGTGAATCAATTACATGCCCCAGACTCTACTATTAATAATACAAGAAATTTCAGTAGCAATGCAATTATATAAAATTGCGAGATTTGAGGTTGTCGTCCAGCTGGTGCAGTGGACAAACAAACTGGTGTTTAAAGGGTTAAAAAATAAAAAAGTAATAATTATTTTATATTTATGGAAAGAACTGAAGTTACTTAAAAGCTTTATGCAAAAAAAAATGGCAACAAAACAAAATTAATAAAAAATTACAGACCTAATCTGTAGGTGGCCACTTGTGGCCACGAACAAGCTGAAAGGGTGGTGTTTTTGAACAGATTCAGAGGGTTAAGGGAAGAAGGAACAGAACCAGATATAAGAGAGGAGTGTACGATATTAGCAATCAGTGGGGCAAGAGACGGGAATGAGAGTTTGACCAGAATTGTCGGCAGTGGATCAAGTTTACACGATGACGACTTTAAGTTTGTAATTATGGAAGATGGCTGAGTTATTGTGGGAAGTTCAAAATTGGACAGAGAGGATGACAGCTGAGAAGGACAAAAAATGCAGATACATTTGACCATATCACAGGACGAGGGCAAGTGTTGATGAAGATTCTCAGTCTTGGTGTAAAACAAGTCCATAAATTTGTTGCAGACTGGCAGAGTGTGTATGTATGGCAAAGGTATCTGGGGGTTTAACAGTATTGTGTAATGTAGAAAACAAAGTGCGAGTGTTTCCTTCAGCAGATTCAATAATAGAAGTGTAGCAGGCAGATTTAGCATGATGAATAGCTTCTTTTCAATGTTGTATATGACTGAGATACATGTCCTTTTGAATAGTAAGTCCTGTTTTCCTTAAGAGATGTTCCAGGCGGCGCCCAGTAGCTTTAAGTTGGCGAAGTTCAGATGAGTACCATGGTGCAGAGCGAGAGAAAGAAACAGTTTGAGTTTTTTGGGGAGCCAAGGTATCTAAGAGGTTGATAAGTTCATTGTTATAGTGAGATAGCAGGGCGTCTATGGAAGCTGAGGCATCAATGGTAGGTAAGTTATTAATGCCATGGGAAAGAGCTGATAGATCAATGCCCCTAATATTTCTAAAAGTAATTGAGCGGTTTTGTTTATTTTTGTATAGTGGGAGACTAACACTGAATAAAACTAATTTATGGTCTGAAAGAGGCCAAAACAGCACAGTTCTTAGGGGTGACACCAATGCAGCAAA